CATTAACACGCAGCTCCAATCACTTGAGCCTGACACTGTCTGAGCAACAGCACAAGGAAGAGCCCGACTTCATTTTGCCTGGAGGCTGAGCCAGCCTCAAATTCAGGCTCCCAAACCTGCTTGGATCAGCAAGAAATATTTTATGGGATCGGCAGCAAAATTCGGCCGCGTGGCAATAAGGGAATAACAGGGTGAAAATGGGGGGCAGGAGGGTTGAGTAGCGCTCCTCACCCCATCCGTGACCCCCCTAAACAGGACAGGCACAGCCCCTCTCTCTCGCCCTGCCTGCAGCAATCCCTTTAAATGGTTTCAAATGTTAATTCCTCATCGTGGCAGTAAAAGCTATTTTTAATCCCACGTGAAAGCAGTTTGCAGAAACCCAAACTTTGCACGTTATTATGGATTGCTTCCCAAAGCCCGGGCAGCGCTGGRTGTGTTTTAGGGAGCAGAAAACCGGGGCACATCACCCGGGAGACCCATCCGGCTGCCACGGGGGCACCCAGCACTTAATCTTGGTCCTAAGTGTAGGGCTGGGATTAAAACATTGCATAAAAGTCAACCCAAAACACTACGCCTTAAGTAAAAGCTYTAATGTATCTTATTCTCAGTTAAAATCACTTTTTCTCAGGTTTCCCGCACGCTTTCTTTGTACTCGGGGTTTCATTTCCCAAACACGGGTGTGAAGATCCGGGAAACTGAGACAGAAAGGTCTCACTTGTGAATGGAAACGAAAAAAAAAGGAGAGAAGAGATTGCAAAGCAATAAAGGCGAGGAGCTGCAGGGCTGAGTGTCTGCAAATGCACCGGGAAAACAAGGAAAGCTCTGAGCCGCCGAGCGCGGAAACCGAGTCCATCAGGAGAAGAGATTAGCGGTGTCAATGAATAAAGATAATGTCCCGGAGCAGGTCTCCGTGCATCGCCATCTGACTCCGGCCAGATTCCTTTGTCTCTTCCCACCTATGCGCCTGTGAAAAGCTCGCCCTGGAAGGGGACACAAGCGCGGTGCCAAAACGCAGCCYGGTGGCTCCGGAGGGGCTGATTTCATTCAGCAGCTCTCGCTATAGAGTGTCTTGATCTGTCTGTACAATCACGACGCGCACAAAACCCCCTCAAGGCACCTACTTAGCTCTACTTTTCAACTGCCAATAACACTCCCGGCAAAAGTCAAAAGAGCAGCGCCGGAGCCGCGTCCTTCCCCTGTCGCTCAAAGGCGTCGGGGTTGCGAGGTTCCGAGATAACAAAGTCTGGCTCAAGAAATCCTGGATGCCTTTCAAGAGCGTTATTAGCTCCTGTGAATGGGGCTGGGGAAGGGGAGGAGGGAATCMCCACATCCCGGGGAGCGGCTCTCTGCTCCCCAATCCGCCTTTCCCGGGCACTCCGAGGTGCTCCCGAGCTGGGACACCCCGGCAGGAGCACAGAGGGATAAGGAGCCCCACGGAAAGTTGTTCCCTGCTCAGGCCAACCTGAATGTGCAGCACTGGATGGGAAGGGAGAAGAACAAAAAGCCAAATTTGGCCTCTGAGAGTCTCGGAGCTCTGGGATGGCTCTGCAGGGCCAGAGGATGCTCAGGGAGGATTCCAACTCCTCCTGTCCCTCCAGCCTGGCCACTCACTAGACACCCTATAGTACTTTTTAATTCTTCTGGTCCAAACTGTAAGAAAACAGGGAATTCTTTACAATTCCCACAGAATCCAGCGTGTGCCGCTTCCAGAGCGCAATCCCAGTGCACGCGTGGGGTGGTGACAGCCCCGACCCAGCACCATTCCTGTCTAAATCTTCCTTTGGCTCTTGGAAAAAGCAGAAAGACAAGATGGAAAAGAGGGGCTGGGATCCCAGATCACGCAAGGGAACATGAGACAGAGGAAAAGCGTCACATCGAGCTGATGTTGCCGCAAAGTTTTGGCAGATGGAGATGAGACTTCTTAGGATGAGCCGCATCAGGCTCAGAGCTCTCCACACGAATTCCCTCAAACTCGCTTTTATGCAAACCAGGCTCCTCTCCAGCACTGCCACGCTCCCCAAAGCTGCTGTCCCCGGTTTTCTTGCCCCGTTCCTCACGGCCCCAGACTCCCCGAGGCYGTGCCAAGCTCCGGTGTGAGCAGCCGGCGCGGCCGGAACCTCTGCGTGGGAACCAAAGCAGCTCTGGCAACCAAAAAGGGAACAATCCCACGCAAAGTTCCTGCTACGCCTCCGAGATGTCCCCAGTGGAGCACAGCAGTGACACTGGCGAGCCCAGGGGAGCCCCCAGCCCCGTCCCCACCATACAAGGTGCAGACAAATATCATTTGTGAGCCCAAACCTGCTCCCCTCACACCGAGGGSATTCCAGCCCTGAAACCCCTTCACCCCACAGCCACTCAGCCCACAAATGTTGTTTTCCTCAATCCCCACAGGCCAGGGCAGGATCTGGCCCCACACCATTGCAGCTCCTCCAAGTTTTGCAATGGATTTCTAAACATTACCCCAAACGTCTCAGGTTTAATTCAGTTTTTAACATTTGTCCTCACCTACATTCCCCTAAAGCACAGAGATAGTCCCAGGCTCCCAAAGAGGACCCCACATACCCCAAACTGGCGGCAGATGCACCAGCATCGCCTCTTCTTTTTATTTAGGTTTCCTTCATGCAGCACGGAGTGCCAAAAAAACTAAAATCATGTTTTGCTTGAGGAGAAAACATCCAATCATGCTTGGATTGGCCATTAAGTCATTTATGCTACAGCCTAAAAAAGGTGTTTAATCTTCTTAGAATTAGCTAAAGCTGTAGTAACTCAAGGAATTCTGTAGATGCTTTTGCAGAACATTTTCTTTTCACTACTACTCCAAAAAAAGCGGCTTTGGGCCATTTCAAATTTAAATTAAATAAAACAATCCAGTAAGAATAAATTATTTCAGTCAGTAACTTAAACTACTCATCACCCATGAGGAGATGCTCCTGCCAGAGCAGGGAAATCACTACGGGGCTGAGCTACTACGAAAGAACAAAATTATTCTGGAGTGATATTTCCAAGGGAATTTTTTTTCCACATTTACTCAAGACAAGCAACGACCTACAGGTGCCTTCGGGCCAAATATCTTGGCGTGAGAAGCCATTGGTGTAATTTTGGTTTCCTAGCAAGTTCAAATATTTTAAAAATGTTTACACCACTTTTGAGATATCCATTGGAAAAACCTGAATTTCTGTCCAACTTCTCTTTCCCTGCACTCCAGCACATCCCAGCTTTAAACAGTTAGCTCTGTCTGGCTTTCCCTGGGATGAAATCCCTCGGTATAGCGAGGTCTTGTGAGAAGACAAAACAAGAGGCAGAGAGGAGAGGAAGCGAAGGGAAATAGTTGTGTGTGTGTGTGATTAAAACCACACTTACTCTATGCAGAGTTAAAGCAAAACATCTCCTGATTTTTGCCTCGCTCCAAAGGATGCGGCCGCTTCCCCGCGCCGAAAACCTTCCCCGCTCCATTTCTCCAAATTTACCACAACCATATGCGGGATCGTCTCGAAACTGGTGCCAGGCCAGGCTCCCTGCGAGCACTTASAGCACTAAAAACTCGCAACAGAGCCATCCCAACTAAGATTTATTTCCCCTTCCCTCTGCGGTCCGTCCTGCGAGCGCCTCGCYGGGCTCCGCCGAGCGATATGAAAGCGTTCGATCTTCCCCCGCTTTAATTATGTGCTCGCAGTCATTAAACTCCCATCCTGCCAAGTGCGAGCCATCTCGCAGCCCTCACCCCAAAAAGATTAGTGATCATCATTACTGCTCCTCGAGCRGCGCAGACCCGAACGGAGCTGAGGAATGAGCTCATAAATCACGGSGATATTAATGCAGCCATAAAAATAAGCGCCGCTACTTACTGGGTTTTGAAGGTGTGTTAAGTCATAACTTTACAGCCCAGATGTGGGCTCGGAGAGCTGAAACTCTGCGGGTAAAATTACCACTAAAATTACTCTTTCCATTAAGCACGCTGATTTTTCACAGGTTGTTACTTTGGCGAGGACTGGGAAGCTGCAACCTCCCCCAAAAACATTAAGAGCACGTAAGAAACCCGGTATTCCCGCGGGGCTCGGGGAGAAGGGGATGGAGRGGCAGGAAGGACAGGGAGAGCTACTCCTTTTATTATTTTCAGATGTTTCCCCGAGAACACCACGGCGCTTTTATGCATCGACACGTTTGGATTCCCTTCAAAATAACGGGGCAGATTCCACTCCCGGCTTCAAGGGACTTATCGCTCCCGACTCCTCTTGGCCCAGCCGCTCCGGAGCTGGCCAGGAGACGGGAATTTAATGCACTCCACATGCACAGTAGCTGCTCTTCCGAGTGCTTTATCGGCCGAAGAGCTCAATTCCATCAAAACCCGCAAAAAACAAACTTCCTTGGATCTCTGCAGCTCTGCCCTTTGCCACAAACCCACCGAGGAACCCCTGATTCACCCCTCGCCCGCTCCCTGTTCCAAGCACAGCCAGGATCCAGCCCGAGGTCCTCGCTGCCTTTATTTTTATAAACCACGCGAATAAAACAGTTCCTAAAGGAACCCGGTGGGGAGACGGGGGGACGGCTGAGGATAAAGTGCTGAAGGTTAAAATCGCAAAGCCTGGACAGTTAAACGAGCATGTTTTTACTGCCGGCTCCGTCCCTGGCCGGGCGGGATGCGGGATGGGAGGCGCGGGGACAGGGGCGACGCGGGGACAAGGGGGGACAGGGGGACCGCTTTTCACACTCGCAGCACGCCCGGCTTCAGCAGCAGCCCCGAAAAAGCAGCCCCCAGCCCTTTCCCCAGGCCAGGTGAGTTTCGGAGCTGCCGCCCCGCTCTCGTCCCGCCCGGRACCCGCACCCTCCCCCGCTCCCCTTCCCTCGGACCCCCTTTCTCTCCCGGGACCCTGCGCTCCCGGACCCGCCTGTTGCAGAGCCACCGCAGYCCAGCACGGGCGGCAATTAACGCAGCTCGCCTGCTAATTACCGACCCCGGGGGACACCCCCCGCCACCGCCACCGCCGCCGCCGCTCCCTTACCTGTACCAGCGCAGCCCCTTCTCGTAGCACCTGTCGAAGAAGTGGGGTTCGGCGCCCACCGCCCGCACCCCGGGGTGCGCCCGCAGGAACTCGAGCAGCGCCCGCGTCCCGCCCTTCTTCACGCCCACGATGATGGCCTGGGGGAAGCGGCGGCTGCCGCCCCCCGCGCCCCC